CACCTCCCCGGCACACACTCGCCGCCCCGCCCACCGCCCCGCCACCGTCGAATCGCGCCCCCGCCGCCAAGCCGCCCTGCGCCCCACCTACGATCTGCCCACCACGACCCTCGGTTCCGACGGCCGGCTGATCGGCATCACAACGTCCGCAGCGCCGCCGAACTTGTTCGTGCCACGGATCAGCGGGCACATGCGGCAGGGCACGGGGGGCGCGGCCGCGGGGTTGCGGACCGCGGGGTTGGCGTGGAGCGTGGATTATGAGGAGCTGTGGCGGGGCGGGACGGGGGGAAGGGAGGGCGAGGATCCGGGGAATGGGGACGAGGGGGATAGGGAGCGGGGGCATGGGCTGCGGTTATGGGTAGGGACCGAGCAGGGGATCTTCGAGATGAATGTGAATCTGGGGGGGCGACGGTGTTGGAATTCGTTGATGCCGATATAGTCTCGAATTATTGACGGAATCGAACCCCTTTCTTTTCGGATTTAAAAGCGACATGTACGACGGGGAAGGAAGCGTGAGCCTGACGCTTGAAGATCTTCAACGTTCTTTTTTTGGATCGGTTGCTCTGAGTCTGGCTGGGCTTATTCGGAATATGATGGGATGTCATTTATGTCAATACCGGTTCATCGTAATGGGTCATGATGGTGGGTTTGGAAGGATTAACACTCGCTCAAGCGGAGGTTTCGGTGTTGCGTGATTACACGCTAGCGTTGAATGAAATGCCTGTATCTTATGATGTTGGGATCAACTCGGCGTGCCGCTTATTGTGCCTCTACAACGAGGATATAACTTTGACTCGAGTTACTTTGTTGTTGGAGGCCTCTGGTTCAAGGACAATCCTACCACGAAGCACGATTCCCGCGTGCGATTCTGCTATTGAAATTATATCTCGTGGCGAACAACACAAGAGTAATTAATGCCTTGTATTTATAGATTTTTAGGAGTGTTTGGTAGACCGGGAATGTGTGCAATGCTTGAATTGGTAACGAGATTCTTTCTATTTACATCCTATTTCTATTCAAGTGGAAATAGTTGATAGATATCGTTGCCCTGGAGTTTCCAAGAGCAGGGTCCAGCATTGGAACCTATAGAATGCGGGAATGGATAGTCCCTCGCCATGCCCACGGGTATGAAATGTCTACGAGACGCTCGTCCTGAGTACCTATGCCGCTCAAGAAATCAAGCACGCAATTCTCCTACCCAAGCACGCTCCCTTTCACCTGAGCCTACTGTCTGGATTGCTCCGTCTGTCTCGTCGGCAGTGAAGTCCTCGCCCTTCCGAGCCACCACACCATCATCCTCCCAATCGTCATTTCGTGAACGTCATAATCGCCATCCTAGCGTCCCATCCGAGAATCGTCCCCAGATTCAAACCCTGTGTGGGAGCGAATGATCTACACCCCATACCGCGCCACCTTCCCATAGTCATACCCCTCCGCCGGCGAATACGCCTGGTATCCCTGCGGACCTTGGGTGTGCGGATTTGCCGCAGGCACGATTGCGGGTCGTTGGCCGGGCGCCGATGCCATGCGATGGACGCCCGACGGGTTGGATTGCAAGAATTTCTGGGCATGCGGAGGATGCTGTTGCTGCGGGAAGGTGTTCGCGTGCGGGGGATGGGGCTGGAAGGCTTGGTATTGTGGTTGTTGAGATTGGTGGGAACCGTGGGATGGGAGGGCGCCGAGATTGACGCTGGTTGCGCGGCCGCGGAAGGGGTGGGTGTGGGGGGTGAGGGTTGGTGTTTGAGAGGTGGATGGGGTCTGAGTGGTGGGTTTCCTAACGTTTAGCTGGGCGGCAAGGGATATGGCGCTGTCTGGGGACATTTTTTCGGGAGACTGGAGCTGGGTGGAATGTTGACTGACGGGTGCTTGTCCTCCGATGTTCAGGTGTGCGAATTCGGGGATGCTGCCCGGTGTTTGACTTGTTTGCGGATCGTGGTGCATTCGATCCGACGAGGTCTGAGTCGGTCCCGACACAAACACCACTTCTGGGGCTGGGTTATCTTGATATTCGGAAGCGGCTGGCTTCATTGGCTCCTTTACGATTTGTTTAGGCGAGAACTGTTCGGCAGGGAGTTCCGCAGGAAGCTCAGCAATACCTGGAGTGAATACGGACGACTGCTGCACATCTGGGAGTTGCTGTTGGGCGTAACGAGGTGGCGGAGATTGAGGATTGCTCAGAGGCGACGAAGGGTTGGCACTGGTACTCGCATAACTCGCAGTTGGTGTCCCTTGATACAGAGTCTCCTGATGACCTGTTGGCTGCTGATATGGCGCTATATGCGCTTGCGGCATCCCACTGTGCATCGCCAGTGGCGTATGCGATTGTACCGGCAGCTGCTGTATCTGCTGTAGCTTGCCGAGGAAACCTGACGTGTTGTTGCTCTGATGCTGCGGAGGCATTTGCTGGGAGCTCGACATGGTTGGCACCCCCGAATGTGCGGAGGCGGTTTGCTGGAGCGAAGGCGGGCTCATTGCGCTATACGTAGGATATTGCGCGGAATGAGCGTCGCTCGGAGAGGGTCCTCCACCATAGTTCCCTCCCATATGCTGCCCATGATGTTGATATTGATGTTGTTGTGGTGATAACGGATTGAACGCTTCGTGGACGGACGGGGTGTGTGAGAGCGTTGTCGTGATAGGCGAGACCGGTGTCGAGTCTTTGGGGGGCGGTCCTGGCGGTGGAAAGGCGCCATGTTGCGGAGGAGGGGTGGGTTGGTATTGAGGGGTACCTATACTCGGAGAAGGTGATGCATGACTGGTTGGAGCTGGAGGAGATGGAGCAGAGGAATAGGTCGCAGTTGACGCAGGAGCTGCGGTTAGGTAGGGGTCCTGCTGTTGCGCATACGGTTGGTATGGAGGATCTGGTGGCGGAGAGTGTAGAGGTTGGCCGTCCTGAGCTGGCGGATAAGGCTGCGAGTGGGAGTAGACGTTATGAACGCTTTGAGGACCAGGTGGAAATGGCGACGTCCATTGTGCCGTTGGAGGCTGCGATGCGCCAAGGCCTTGGTAGGCTGCTGGCGCATGTCCGGGTGCTTGACATTGATCGTTTGGAGTCGACTGAGGTGGACCATAGCCTTGCGGTACCACTGGCGATTGAACGGGAGAGACAAGAGGAGATACAGGTCCCGGCGAGAAAGGCGTCTGATGTTGGCTGGACGGTGCGATCATGGGAGAAAGGCCCGAGGAAGGTTGGGAGGCATATTGCGGCTGGAATTGATAGAGATTGGAAGGACCCTCTGGCTTTGGCGTTGCGACCAAGTGTTGGACATCTTTAAAGAGTTTCTTCATCGTCGCAAGGTTTTGGCAGTTGGCACCTTTTCCGCACCTTTTTCCGCACCTTTTTAGCAGAAGGCGAGCTTGAGACGAAGGGGAATTGATGTGAACTCAACTAGGCACGTCTAGGAAAGTCTCGTCTAGGAAAGTCTCGAGGGCATGGCACGCTTTACCAAAGCCATATTGGAAACCCTTTGAATCTTTATTTAACATCACGGCTTGCGCTTGGAGGCTGTTGGAGTGTTGCGGAAATTGAGCTGGTGGAAGGCTGGGCGTCTAGATACAGCCACGCTGGTATACTCTTGCAGGGACATCACCACATGCAAAATTGCGGGTTGCAGATTGGAGATTAAAGAAGTATATATTGCTCCGTATTATTGATGAGATGCAGTCGCTGCATGGGCAGGACTAGACACGCTTGAAGCCGTTTCAGGGCCGAGAAGATTCCTGAATTGGAACCTAGGACCCGAACGTTAGTGAGCCATAACTTCCTGAATCAATTTATTAGCCGTCAATTGATCTACTAACCATCCTGTGTCGAGTATCAGGAATTAATATCAAGCCTTGGGAATGGGAATCTACCCTGGTGACGCCCCTGACCGGAGGCTGAGGCAGTGCTGCTAGCATGGAGCTGAACTCCTTCAGACAAAAGAATGAACTTTCATCCTTGATTGCTTTACGGAGTGGCTTCTCGATCTGAATTTGGTCCTAACTCCTAAGAGATGGACGATAGAATTGATAGGATTATTTGGGATTCCTAATTTCAGGTACGGATAAGTTGGAGACCTGGTCTTCCTTCCGGTGATGATACCTTCATCCGTCATTGGCAACATTTGGTGTTCATGTGTGAGGATGATATGTACCATGTGCAGGCTGCAACAGATGACATTGTGCCTTCTTCATCGCGAAACCATCCAGATCCGAATGGGATTGGTTTTAACTGTCCCAGCCCCTGAATCTCATCAATGCCTCATGATAGAACCAAAAAAAACAAAAAGATAAACTCGAATGGGGCTGCCGCGAATCGAACGCGGGTATCCACGGTTCTGTAATCAATGGAATTGAATTCCGATGTGACTCCACAACGTGGTGTACTGACCACTATACTACAGCCCCTGATTTGATGAAAGGGAATGCGATTCTCGCAATATAAGGCAGACTTGAATTTGGTGGGCTTAAACGTGGTTTGGCAGACTGGACTCCCTTTTTAAGTATTCCTTTTGCATTTCTTTTTGAATTGTGTCTCTCAAAGTCAACCCTTGAGCTCCAAATTCTTTGTGCGCAGTGCTGATATTCGCGATGTGAATTGGAACGTGCCCTGAGTGAGAGTCACGTGAAGCGCCCCGTCTTTTGATACCCCCAGCGAAACCCCCGCCCGATCGGCCGTTGAAGCCCGCGAATATTTTTTTGGACCCCGTTTTGGCCCCCCCTCCCCCCCCCGGGTGCCTTTCTCGGGCTCCCCTCTGCTCGCTCTAATCGCCTAACACCCCCATCGCGGCATCGCCCCCGTCGTTGAACTGCGAAAGAAAAATAGAAGAAGATTTCTCTCTCGCAGCTTGAAAATTTACATCTCCCACTGTGAGTAGTCTCGCCACTCCATCGGCACCCAACCAAAGCGTGTTTGTAAGGCTGCAAGGCCAATAGAGACTGAGCCTGGCACAGCTCAAGACCTTTTCTCTTCTTTCGATAAGCCTGGAGTAATAGAAGTAGGCTATTATAGATCTTGCAGCCTGTAGCAATGTCGGTTATTCAGGTAGACATAGTAACCTAACGCATTATCCTTCGACTTATCTTTCCTCACCTCGTTAAAGCTCCCGCCCACTGATCTGACTGAATCGGATCAACTTCAAATCTTCCAATCTCAGCACTTTCATTCATCTTCTATTTCGTCCGCTACTACTAGCTAGTCAATTCAGACTATTACCATTACTGAGCTCACTGATTAGCACTGTGACTGGTACTGAGCCATGCTGAGCACGTATTGTTGGTCATGCAGGTATCGATTCCAGTGTTATATGACGGGTGCACATAAGTATGCAATCGTTGCCGAACTGATGGCCATTTGGAAGTACTCAATTCCAGGCAGCCATAGACTATATCCAAGAGGATCCAGCCGAATCTCAAGAACCCTGGCTATGAATGATATTCATACATAAAAAATACAGTCAACACTGGGGGTCACCCCCTCTCAATGTCTCGACTATGTCTGGCCGCAGCCTCCCAGCTCTTCCACGAGAAACCAGTCCTTCCAGTCGCCACCCGTGGAAGTGGGCGATTTTTCAGTGGTGACAACGATTCCCTCCTGTCACTTCCTACACCATGGTCGCTGCCAAACCCGACGCTTCTCCTCAACTCAGAAGTATCCGGTCTAGGAAACTCCTTAAAACCGCTAATACTATCCCGATGCGAGTCGATTTCAAAATGAACCGATCGTCGGGGCCCATGGCCCGCGAGCACCTGGTGATGATGCTCGTGACTGTGTAATTGGACATGGAAATGCGCCAGAAAGTGATAAACATGTTTGATCGCTCGACCAATATCGTCCACTGTGAACGCCATCATGATAAGGGGTATAGATATGGCGAATCCGATCCCAAAGACATATTTAGATACCCAATCGAGCGTCATTGCGGAAGAGCCGTCGTCATTGCGTGGGAAATTGGAGATATCCACTGTGAAAAAGGAGGCGATGAAGGACATGGGAAGGAAGATGATGGTAACAATCGTGAAGACCATGACCGTCTGGCCTTGTCGAGCAGATGAAATGGCGCGATCGGCAGCGAATCGCGCTTCGAATGCGTTTGCTTGCTTCTGTTTGAGGTCAAGAAGGTGGGTGAGAGATGTGTAGATATTTTCCGCTTGCTTATCCATGCGCTCGAGATCTTTGACATGCACATCGATGATTTTCAACTGATCCTTCGATCTCTTCCGAATTTCAAACGCTTCCAGGGATTTCTTGCCGCCGAGTTCCTCGAACATGAAATCCGCTAGATCCGGCAGGACAGATACTTGGTGCTGGAGCACCATCTTGATGATGTTGATCTCATCTCGGATGTCTTTGATCTCAGCCAACAGCTCGGTCTCCGTGCCGATATCCAGTAATGAGTCTTGGAAGAGATCATCTCTGCGACCAGGATCGTTGGGGTTCGTGTCCAATGCCCGCGACCAAGTGCTTGCTCGTTGCGAACGTCGATGGTTTCGTAACCATTGCGCTGCTCCTGCAGATGCTCGATTGAACCTTGAAAACAACTTGCTTTCTCTGTTCGTCTGCAATGGTCAGCATCATTTGCAAATCGACCGGCTGCGGCTTCCACTCACTACATGACCAATCGACGTCTCAAACATGTCCAAAAACTGAAACTCCTGATTGTCCAAACGATGCCGATCAAACACTCCGGAACATCTCGTCGTGATGAGCATAGCAAGGTCATAAACGTTCTTCATGGGTGGCCGTGTCTTCACATTCATATCTTCAATGATCCCTTCGAGCATGTTGACAGGATCCTGCTTGGGTTGCTGGTATCGTTGAGGAAAACTTGTAATGATGAGCTCTGCCATGGGTTGTCAGCGTGCCGTTACTCTTCCAGGAGGGCGAGGGAACCGGACCTTCACCAAGGATCCACATCCACATCTGATCAACCATGAACAGCTTGGGTTCCAATCCCCGATGCTGACAGTACCTAAACACGACCTGATCCCGATCCCTCTCGGTCGTATCTATGCCGTGGTAGAAGAACTGATCGAGCGTCCGCCGGGTATGAAGCGGAGGATCGGAGTTGATGTACGCTCGGATCAGTAGATCATCCAACGTTTGAGGCACGAAAGGGGGCTCTCTCGTCAGCGCCTCTTTGATGGTTTGACTCATGCGCATCCGTCGAGAATCGGTCTCGTAGTGTAGATACGGCATGAATAGAACAAGCTTCCCGGTCTTCCCCTTCCCTTTTCCCGGAGTGGGAGTGCCGAGAGCAGTCTTATCCTGTCCTTTTCCTGGCTTCTGACCTTTCCCTCCATTCCCATCTCCCTTGCCTCCTTTCTTCGTCTGCTTCTCAGTCTTCGCCTTCTTCTTCTCCGCGCGAGTGGTTGGCAGCTCCTTTCCTTTCTCCTTCTCCTTGTCCTTCTCCTTCTCCTTGCCCCTGGACGGCTCCAATTTCGGTGTTGAGGTCCCATCCTTCGGAACATTCTCAGCAACGTTCTCCTGTTGCTTGGTCTTGTCACCGGCTTCTTCCGCTGGAAGAGAATGTTGTTTTGATTTGATGTCGGGTCGCGAGTGCGTCGACACTCGTGTGCATGAATGTCTCATGAAATGCGCATGGACCATCGGTCCACGATGTTCCTGTCCGAAGCACTTCGCTAGAGCTTTGAAATCGTCCAATTCTCGGGCTCCCGCTTCGATGAAGTTCTTGGTGATGAGCGTTTCCATCCATCCGACCTGCAAATACGATCAGTATAGGACCAGCGAAGGCGTATCGAATATTGCACATACATTGTTGGCGGGCAGATGGATCCAGCGAAAGGTCGGCTTCGATTTGATATTGCGGACCATGGTGTGCACAGATTGCTTGGAATGCTCATCATCCCAGCCATAGAGCAACTCATACACACTCCGCTTCTCCACCAGCTGGCCCTTGGTGTTTTCACTGTGCCGCGAACTAGGTGGCAACCCGAAATCGACGATGGTTGCCTCAAACCCTTTGCAAGCTTCCCTGGCCTCCGGGGACAGTCGCGAGCCATATACCGGGGGCGCAAGCATACGCACAATGTCCAAGTGTCCTTTTTGCGCCGCTCGGAGCATCGGCGTGCTGTCGAAGGAGTCCTTGATGTTCAAGACCGTCCTCGGATCCTTTACCAGGGCCTCCACGATGGCTTCATGGCCGTTCTGTGCTGCCCAGTGCAGCGGGGTCATTCCGCTCGACGTTTCCGCATTGATGTCTGCACCGGTTCGCAGTAACAGGTCGACAATACCAACGTGGCCCTTGTCTGCAGCGTTGTGCAGAGCGGTCCAGTTTCCATCCGATGTGAGAGTCGGGTCCGCACCGCATTCGATGAGCATCCGGACGATGCTTTCATGGCCGCTCTCCGCTGCGAACTGGAGAGACGTCCTCCCTCGAGGATTGACCGCCGAGACATTCGGTCGCCTACTGTCCGACTGGCGAAGCAGCGCGGCAACCAACTCCTCTTTTCCAGTGGAGGCTGCCCATAGGAGTGCCGTGCGTCCGGTACTCTTGTCTCTAGTCTCGAGGTCGATCCCACGATCAATCAAAAGCTGGACGGTATTATCGTTCCATGGCCCGTTCTTCTCGCTCGCGAGATGAACAAGCACTGACTTCTCCCCTCGATCTAACGCATTGACATTGGCCCCGCAGTTAAGCAGCAATCTCATTACATCTACGTGGCCCTTGTACGCGGCGGCAAACAAAGCTGTTCGGCCTGGCTTATCCCGTACGTCCGGGTATGCGCCGCTGTCGAGCAGCAATCGAACGAGCGCAACGTTGCCGCCGTAGTGAGGGGTTTCCCGAGCAACCACCTCTTCGTTGGCCGCATCATTACTGCGCTCCTTCGCAGCGTCCTTTCCAAGCTCTCTGGTCGTGTCTTTCCGTGCGTCGTGCTCGTTTCCTCCACGCTTCCCACGCCCGCTAGCTTTATCTTTTGCGCGCTCCTGAGCCTTGTCTTTTGGGCGCTCGCTCTCCCCATCTGTGTCCAACTCACACGCCTTATGCAATGCGCTTACTTCGCCGTCGCTGCCAGGATTGACTTCGGCGCCTTTGTGGATGAGGTACTGCGCAAGCCCGATGCGTCCTCGAGCGACTACACGTTGGAGGGAGATCCGCAGAATCGTTTTGTCCAAGCGCGAGTGCCATGTTGAGCCTTCGACGATCTCGCGAATTCGTTTGTCCTTCAAGTCGAGGGCGGCTTTGAGGAGATCCTTATGTCGGTCCTCCGGTGGGTGCGATCCGATGCTCGACATTGCGACGCGCCGGTGGAGGTTCGTATGGGTCGGGTCCAAATCATTGTCCTTGGTCGTATGAATGGTAACGATATCTCATGGTGGTGACAACTGCCATGATTCATCCAGAGGCAATTCGATGTTTCCCGCAATTCGTACGCCGTGGGGGACATGGGCAACATCTTGAGCAGCTTCAGCTGGCCAAAGACACCCATGCTAGCGTTCTTTGGAGACATCAATGATCGAAACACGACCTTGAGTCTAGTCCGGTCGATTCTCGCTGTGGTCACCATCGAACCTTTTGCATAAGGCTGAACCGCTCGCGGAGCTGCGCTGCTGTGCGGGGAACTCTCTCACCCAGTTACACAAGACTATCAGCTTGAAGAGTTCACCATAGTGGCTGAGGCTAGTGCGATAGTGCTATTCCCGCCGACAGTTTGGGTGGCGATAACTTGAATTCTTGGACCTCGATATCGACAAGTCGTGTTTTGATTTGATTAGTTTAGATGAATGAAGGGAATCAACAGTGCCGACGACAACACCGTCCTAGTGTTTGAAATCCTTGGGCTTTATTTGACTAGTGTACCGGGGAATCCTACAAAAAGCAACACAGAGGACCGAAAGCACCGAAAGTACCGCAGTGCCGTATGATATAGAACATTCCGTGCGAGGCATTGTAGTTTCGGTCGGGAATTACCTCCATCCGATCGCCCGACGGTCATAGAAATATAGATCCTCGTCGGTTGGTAGGGACATCGGTGTCGAAAAGAGGAGTGAGCATGAAGTGCTTAAGGGGTTATATTGATTGTATGACTCGGAAAGAAAGAAAAGCGACCCGCTGCCAAATACCCGTCCAGATGCCCACTATACGCCGCAGTGATTCCAACTCTACCATGAAAATCGTCGTCCTCCATGACAAGGTAACCACTCGGGAGGAATCAAGCCTCGGTCGCGTGCGGTGTCTTGCACGAAATATATGGGATATCCGCCCTTGGGAAACCGGTCACATGGCCATCTCCTCCTGTAATTTCCGCAGCTCTGCCTCTTCATCTTCCTCCTCCCTTGCTTTCCCTTTGACTATTGAACGCCGGTGGTCAGCAGATGCCTCACGATCCGATGCGGGTGGCTTTCGACTTACTTTCTCCGGTCGCGACCGCGGGTAATCTGGACACTTCGTCACCAACGGGAACCGGCCCGGTCCTCAACATCTTATTATCCAATTCCTCCTGCTGTAACGCCTCCAGCTCGCCCTCCAGCTCGTCGTTGTCGATCTGCTGGCCGGCGCCTTGCGTGATGGCATCGCCAATTTCTTCGGCGATGGCGTGTTGGTCGCGGAGGGTTTCCCTGTCGTATAAAATTTAGCCCATGTGCCCGAAACTGAACCGGGAATCCACCGATCTGGATGTGTGGTACGTACATGAGTTGATCTACCTTATCTACGGTCAGGTCGCCGTGGATGCCTTTCATTGCGACGCCGGCTTTCTGCATGGCTGCCAGCGTTTCCTTATTGATATTTGCCGACTCGATCGAATAGATCTGCTGCTCAAGAGTCATCACCTGCGACTGGGTCTGTTCCAGCGCCGTGTCCCATTGCTTCTTCTTCCGCAGTGCCGCCTTCGCCACTAATCGAGCTGTTAGTACATGTCCATGTTGGTACTCCCGACCTTCCTCGTCTGACACTGGATGGGACTCCATCAGGGAGATGTGGCAGACAGGTGCCCAACATACAGTTCTTATTCGAGTTGACGTATTTCCTCGCTATCTGCTCCTGCTCATCAATCTGGGTCTGTAGATGCTTCTCCCGCTTCGACAGCATTTCCAGCTGTGATCGCAACCCGAGAATCGCGTCTTTGGCACCATCTTTCTTCTTCCCACCGCCGCCGAACCAGCCCATGCCCCAGCTGGCCATGTCGATTGTTGATGGTTGAGAGCCTCGTTTGGTGGTCGGGGTAGCGACGGTGAAGGTCGGGAGAGGAATGAACCAAACGAATACGCCGAACGTGAATGGTGTGCTCTGGCTTGCAATGCGGGCTTGTCAAACCTCGCGCCACGGAGGCGCCTGGTTGGGATGGGCTATGTAGCTGGCGGAGTGGATGGCGGGGCGATCAGCCTTTGTTCGGGTCGGGATTGAGTGGATGAACTGGACCGGAGATGGATCGAGAGTTGAGGAGGATCCCAAGAAGCATATCACGGTGCAAGCAGGTTGGAGGAGGTGATATCAATGTGAAAGCCTGGGATGGCAATACCGAATATCAGTGCCTGGAGATCGGAGTCCATGAGTGACAGAGGAGAGAGAGAACACGGACGAGTGACGACTGACGTTGTCCGATGCACCGCTGCGCCGTTCAGTTGGCAGTGGCCAGCCAATGAGAAGTGACATGCACACACCAGGGTGGGGGCGCCAAGACCAGACACGTGCCCAGGCAGCCACATCAGATATAGGCATTAGATTACTAGCCAGTCCAGGTGATTAATACTTGTAATAAATATCATGTAATCAATATCAACCTCCATCTCATCCCCCCACCATTTGCATTCACTATTCGTCCACCATTGTTCCCGAAACAATACTTACCGTACCTACCAATGCTCAGATCCCCAACAAAAGCCTTGACAATATCCAGTCGGGTCAGATCGGCTCGGAAATCTAGACAAGCATCGTTTCATGCAACACGTCAATTCATGGCGACCCCCATTCCCTCCCAGCTCATCCTTCTGTCCGATCTACCCAAGGTGGATCCAACTGAAAAGGTCCGTTTCCTCAGCTGGTAGGTGACTTGGTCCATTCTTCACTGTGCCCAGATTCACAGAATGCCAGCGTCCAGAGCTATGATCCGGCAAAGGGCCTTATTCTCGGTCACAATTGCCAATCTCGACTAGGAGCTCAAGTGTCCGCAGTGGTAGAGATATCTCATTTGCTCCCGGATATCAGCCCACAACTTCTACAGGTTGGGGAATGGGTCAACGTGATTGGGTATGTGCAGGAAAATCCTGGGAACACTTCCTTCAAACCAGAGCCGCAGCATGTCCCCATCCAAGCCGTCATGCTGTGGTCGGCCGGAGCAATTGATATTGCAGAGTATGAGCGGGTTGCAGCTGCACGATTTCAACTTTCTCACTCTCGAAATGCCACTTGAGCACGCATTGATCGATGCATTAGTTGGTGTCATATGGTCACCATGACTGCTATCCGGCGTTGGTGTCGAGGGCCACCTATTCGGCGGCGGCAGCGTCAGCCTGGTTCTCTAGACACCACACTCCCCTCCACGGCCATCAACCACCGGACTCCATCAATCCCAATATCCCATTTACTCCCTTCTAAACGAACCACATCTCCTTCGGTAGCACATCGACTCCCCTTCCCCAAACCCAACCCGGTCACAACCCCCACCCACTTCACTTCTTCTCCAACTATCCCCTTCATCAGCGACAAACCCCCCAACCCAGGCCTCGCCGTCCCTCGCTGAATCTCTCCTACCCGCACCGTCACCACCTTCTCACGCACGCCCCGGTTCCCCACCGCCGCCGCTGGCTTCCATCCTCTCCACACTGCCTGGCTCTGCCGTGCGCTCGCAGTCTGTTCTTTCTCCCATCCCTCGACAATCCACCCCGCCACCGTCGCCGCCATACCGCCTTCCACGAACCGGTATCCGCGCTTCCGAGGACTGAAGGTCTCGGCACTGGGTTGTGCCTGCTGAGGGGAATCCGCAGGCGGGCGGATGAACGCTTTCGGTCCAGCCGCCGTCCGTGGTCGAGTGGAGTTGGACGTTGTGGGTGTGCGTTCGGAAGGATGCAGGATAAACCGTGGTTTGGTGGCGGCTGGCGTCGTGATGGCGAGCGTGTTCCTGGGTTTGTTTGGAAGGCCACGGCGTGGTGGGGGCGGTGCTGGGGTTGGAGGTGGTGAGGAAGCGTGGAAGTTCCGAGCCGCGGAAAGGGGCGATGTCAACCGCTGCCGCTTACAAGGAGTGAAGGGGTCGATACGGTGACACGGTTTTGTCGAGCTGGACTGGATGGTACTCGAGTCATTGAAACGGATATTCGAGTCGTGTGCTTCGCTATCAAGTAGCATTTCATCACTATCGGTAGCTTGCCCATGTTCTGCTCGTCCGTCGGTCGCTGGAGGAGGGCTCCAAGACTCTTCGATACTCTCGACTCTCTTCAATCGCCTTCTATGGCCGCGTTGGTCACCAGAATCAAATTCTCTGATGTCTATGGGATCCGTTTGCAACGCACGAGTGTTAATGGCGTCCATAGGGTCCCGCCGCTCACGCCGTTCGAGGTCAGATGCAGGAATCGCATCTTTCTTTCTCAGGGAAAACTTGGGTGTCCGCGCAAACCGCGCGTGCGATGGCGTAAACTGCTGAAACGGTTTGGCGCCTTTAATTTGACTTTGAAGTTGCGACAACGCTGGTACAGAGAGCGGCGTCCGAGGTGGTGGCGGGTGAGGGCGTTTGGAAGGCTTCTGTCCAGGTAGTGTAAATCGATGAGGCGATGGGGTTGAGAAATTCATCTTCAATGATACGCTCTAGTAGCGATGGAGCTAGCATGGCATGATGTTGGCTATGATAGAACACGGTAGATCCGTTTCATGGACATAATGTAAACTGAACTGAAGCGGAAGTCTGCGAAATCTCAAAGTCGCGAAAGTCGCGAACATCGCGTCATGGAAGTGCACGTGGGGCGAGGATGTCGCGTGATCACGTGGTGACGGTCTTGGTTGATTACTAGTTGTTGCCACAGCGGCAAAAATACTTCTGTTTCTAGTTAGTGCAAGAATCAAGGCATTTCCTATTTAGGCGAATAATAGGTGCCATTTATTGTTGGATAGCATGATCTTGGTTTAACGGCGAAATCCGTCCCTGGCGGATGACACTGACGTTGTGTCCCTTTCTATCATCACAGAAGATCCCGGCGTTGGAGGGAACCTGCTCGATTTGTCGTCCGTCAGCGCATATGGAAACCTATTGCGCAGTTATATTTGATGGGTGAATTCCAACCAATGGCTGTGGTTAGATGATATTAGCCATGCAGTGCCCGGGCGAAGGCGAAAGCCAACCACGGGTCCTGTTTTGCGACTGAAGCATATCTTCCAGAGAACGAATAAGCATCCAACAGATGCAGATGCACAAGAAAAGAGCTGAATGTTATACAGTGTTGTACATTGATAAACGACAAACATCATATCGTCGGCAAATATCATTGAGCAACAGCCATGAAGTCTCGTACGTATCATTCCAATGCCCAACCTTCGTGGGCCATATTCGTCATTTATAGCCATGATCATCATGAAAGGATCGCTAAACAAATGGAGAGGGCCCGACCAGCTTAGGTTCTCGGAATGCCTCAATAACGCAAGTCCTGGAAATCGCAAAGGAATTTAAAACCAATCGTCGGCCCATCCCGTCTCACGGAGACGTTGAAGCACACCCCGACAACCTTCCACCAACTCGCCATCGCCGGTAAGCATGCCTTTGACTTCCTTAAGCATCTCATCCGTCCGACTCTTCAGCTCGACGTGCGCTTGGACCTCCCTTTTCGAGCCGCCATTCATCGCCGACATCCCCCCATACTGGACCGTCGCGTACGAGCAAGCCCATTTCACCAGCGCTGCAATGTAGACGCCCAGCTCAGCATCGAAGCTCAGCCGCTCTCCTTTGTCCCTTTCCCCTCCCACGGCACTAGGTTCAGCCAGGGAGCCGATCCCAGCGAATTCAAGCACTCGATCCGCCATCGTGCTCGCAACACCCGCGGCGCCGGTGTCCACCCACCCACTCACAGTCTGCTTAGCCTCTTCGTACCGCACCGCGCCTTGCCGCGAGTCCGTGGACAGGCGGGCGGAGTAGACCCAGCTTTCGCCAGCAACGGCGAGTAGGGAGCGGAGGGGTGAGTTCATGGCGGATAGGGTTGCTGCGAGGACGACGCTGGCGGAGCGGGAGGGGGATTTGAATTGAGAAGATAAGAGGGAAGCGGGGAAGACGGAAGAGGAGGTAAGAGGATCGGTGACAGCAGCGCTGAGGGTGGGGCAGAGGGGCGCACAGCAAGCCACGAGTAGGGTTTGGAAGTAGTCGTAGGGGCGTGGAGAGTTGGATTCGGTAGCGTTGGTGGTGGTGGTGGTGGTGGTATAAGTTTGCATTGCGGATTGGAGGGAAGGCTGAGGATGAGTTGTGTGGCGGAGGAGGGCGTAGAATTCGCCCGCAGATCCGGCATCCCATATCTCGATCGGGACTGGAAAGGGAAGCGCTCGTTTGGCGAGGATCGAGAGCTTCATGCCGCGGCAAAGGAACGTTGTGTGTTGGGTGTCAAGCATGAAGCAGGCCATGAGCAATCGCAATTTGCTCTGCTTCCGGACGAACTCCAGCCAGCCCTCCGAGCCCAGATGGTTCGCAATCCCAGCCGCTGGTTCGCATTTGAAGTTTTCAAGTGTTGCGGTAAGTGCATCCTGGTCACATCCGAGCTTCACAAGGACATCAGCGGGACGGTCGGCAACGAATTGACCTCGGAGACTTACGAAATCGTACACCGTTGTAAACTGGACAGAGAGACCACTAGGTGCCCGTCTGGCCTTGAACTGCGCGAAGTACTCCACCAGATACACCACTTGCATTTCCTCAATGGTAAGGGATGCTACATTTGGAGGAAGCTGTGCGTCATAGTCAGCATAGTACATATGAATAAACCATGGAGGAGAAGGGCATGTAGGAAGTCGCATACCTTCAACACTTCCGAGGAGCACCAATTATGCATAGCTCGGGCGTCGTGAAGCGCGGCCGGTGTCCCAACCATCTCCGCGCCGATTGCCATCATAGCTCCAAGCAGCAACGGGTAAAGCGGGTGAGAATTGGGAGGAGGGACGGAGGGACGGTGAAGGACTGAAAACTGGGGATGGAAAGACTTCCAATAGGAATCAATATACTGCTGCCGGATGTCCGGATCAAGGCTCGTAATACCCATAGGAAGCTGTCGATGTTGGTGTTGAGGCGATGCGTGCGTCATGCTCCCGCTCCACGACAATGGATCGGGTGTGAATTGAGGGCTCTTGGCCGATGGTGTTGGGAAGTCCATTGGGAGTGTGGTGGGAAAGGTGACTACGGATGGAGCAGGCGATACGCTGCTAGATGGAATGTAGGCAGACCCCTCGGTCGAATTCCAGACTTGTTCTTGCCCCGAGGTTATAGAGACAGGTGACATACTTGCCGATGGATAGTTAGACTGCCACGGCTCTATCATGGAGGCTGCGCATGAGGAGGGATTGCTAGAAAGGTTCGGAGCGTAAGAGTCGTTTCCGTATGGGAGAGTATAGTTCCAGTTCCAGCCCCCTAGAAGAGATTCTCCTCCGAGTGGCGGGGGGTTCTCAACCGAGATGCAGACTGACGGGGCTAAAGATACCTCCGGAAGAGGAGTGCCCGGAATGGAGATGCTGCAGGACGTTCATGTCAGCACTAGGGCCAGCCAGGCGATGGGAATTAATAAACAGAAATATGGTCTATGCTCTCTACAGAGACTCACTTGAAATTGCTTTTTGGAGTAGTAGAGAATGACTGAGACGGAGACGAAGAAACACCTAATGATTTCAAGAGCTTAAACTGAGAATTCGTGTACCTTGGAGCAGCCATTGACGTAGAGGCGCCGCCGAATGCAGTAGCCGCAAGAGGGTCAAGGAATGCCGCGGAAGCAAATGTTGGGGATCTTGCAACTGGCATCGTCACCGTGGCAGAAGACGATGAGGCCGGGAAGTGCCAGCTTGCATCTGAACCCTGCCGAGACTTCGCAGGACTATCGTCAGGCAATAGACTGTAGATATCAGTACTCGTTCGATTGAGATCTAGAGTAGACATACCACTTCTCTTCATGTCGCTGCAACAGGTCCTGTCGGTGGAAAGTCTTCCCACAACTGTGCTTGCATGGGGTAGTAGATCCATGGTTTTGCTGGTGCCGCCTGAGACGATTGAGTACAGTCCGACTGGGCAATTGGATTCCACGAACCTAAGATGTTCTGCTCTCGAGTACGTCTTCCCACAACTACAATTGTGAGCACCTTGCAAGCCTTTCTTTGCTCTGCTAATGCGGCCAGTGCGGGTATAGCTGATTTCACCTAGGGCATGCCGCGGGTGCCTCCCAGACTTGGAGGTCTCGGGGTGCGAATGTCCACTCATGATGGACGCTTTTCGTTTAGGAGACGACAAGCTCGCACTGAATTCGTTTCTGGTCGACTTCGAAAGCTCGTGAACAAAAGTGGAGGTGTCGGAGGAGAGTCCGGATGCACTGGCGGTCCGTGGTGGGGTTAGGGACGTTTTATTAATAGCATCGGAAGGACCATAGTCCTCATATGATGTCGCCTGTGTTCTTGAAGGCATGGATGCATGGGAAGTGTGAGGAATCGCCTGTATATGAGGCTCGGACATAGCCGCACCGCCACGGACACTGCCACTTATCCCAGCACTCGATCGGTGTGCTCGTGACAATGACCCCTGGTTCATGAAGACAGGAGTCCCAAAAAAACCATGGGTCGATGGGAATTCAGCCATAGCAGTCATTTGTGATTTAGAAAACTCCGTGGCGCATACACGGCCGAGAGTTGGGACTCTGTTGTCAACGTGATCCGAATTCCTTGGAGTCGTCCGATGTGTAGTCGATGTGTAGAAGCGACGAATGCACAATACAGGATCTGGATGGGGGTGGCGCTCGACCAGAAGGCCGTCCACTCCAATGCCCACCTTTAATTCATGTGGTGATAAACCGAACCGACTCCACGGTGATGAGCAGAATGAGTCGGATAGACAAATGATAAGTATTCGTGAGGAAGGGCGGGTCCTGAACGAAAGGAAAACAGGTTCTATAGAAACCCTTGCAATGAAGCGTAAATAAAGAAGCGAAAGGATCAGAGGTTGGTAGCCTTGCTCGTTCGTGGAAGAAGACGGAAGGATGCGACAGGATACTTGTACTGAGACTAGTATGCGCTACCAGGTATACCAACGGTCCGCATCTCCATGCTAGGAGATTCCACGATGAAGAATCAGCCCTGTCGAATGGGTATGACAGGTCTGAATCAAGAACGGTCGACCGTCCTCAGTTTGTAATATAGGTGATGTTGCTCGGTTCGAAAGCCCCAGATGGTCGGCCAGGGGATAGAGAGAAACAATGCGAAGCATGAGGAGGTGCAGTAGGGTGTATAGCATTCATGTCAGTAATAAGATATTGGGGTGCGGGTGTTTCCAAAAAGTTGGGATGCCAAATCGTGCCCAGTGGACTATGAATAGCACCTGGAAACCGGGGATTGGAAACCGTAACGAACCTGCATAGTGCATCAGGAACACACCAAGCATTGATATATCCGGTTTCTGGACGAACTAATTAGAGGGAAGGCGTAGAAGGTTTGCACACCAGCCGGATGGACCATCATAGTCGTGCGGATTGCGGAACAAACCCTTGCCTGCAGAATTGTGTGCACGGCCATTCTAGGCTGTGGATAATACGTTAATCATGCATATTCTGTCGTTGCAACGATAATACCAAGTTGGAGATGAACGAGCGCCGAGAACGCATACTACATACATTCCCTGCAGCCTTGTCGGCCGAAGGCTTGTCGACAGGCTAGAAATCATTGGTTCGGGCCCAAGGGGTGGGCGAAGGCGAGATGATCATCTTCCGTAGTCTGTTGAAAAGCAACAGCATAAATGTGTTGGATGTTGGCCAACTGCAATTGGAGAGAAGTGGCTGGGCGGCCCGAAATGGCTGTGGGGATGATGTGGGGACTATGGAGGGACTTTTGGCAGCCCCGTGGCAGGGGAGGCCCAGAGGCCACAGGGCACCGCATGGCCCATGGGGAATTGGGGGATGGGCCAACTGGCCACTGGGGAATGGGGATTGGGGATCCTGATTCCTGTGGCACTGGCATCTGCGGTGGCTACGTCTATGTTCAACTAAGCTCGAGCCGTGAAAGTAATGAACCTGTTCATGCCACTTCGTGGGATAATGATAGATGGGACGTGGACGGTGGACGAGAATCTAGATGAATGTGCCAAGATGGTATGACGATCGGACTAAATTTGGCAGTGAGGGATAGGACCGGATGTTGGAATTCGGATCTCTCGAAAGTCGAACCAAGCCGAAACGGGTGCATAAGATGATGAGAGCAACTGCAGCACCAGGGCTGTGCTCTCGCCTCTCATCACACTTATTCACACCAAGATGCTTTCTCGCGATCCGGCTTCCGTCCAGGGTCTCAATACTCTGTAATTCAGCGCGGAAGCCCGAAAGTCCAACATCCTTCAATGGCCATACTGATTACTAGCCAATTGGCAATTGCAGACATCATTGGCCCATTCCGGCCATACTCTGCGACTTCCCAACCATTAAGGAGCATACAAAGTATACTGCGGTCTTGAAACGTCGTACTGGACTTTATGGCTCTATATTTAGCTGTTTCATCTTTCCAGTCGGTCTACACCGCAGAAGATACCGTCTTTCAGCTTCGTCCAAGCTCCATAGAAGCGGACTGAGCGATTTTCTGTTGGTTTGCAAGACTACGGCTAGTGGCGATCACTGCAAGGAAAGAACTGCACAACGATGGTATACAAACCAAAAGAACCGTCGTCCCATTGTCATTCGGTGCGATTGTGTTAAGGCACTCGAAGCAAGTTGACTGTGATGTTTTGGTTCTTCGATTTGGCGGCTTCGATTGGTTGTTGGCGATTCCTTGCCAATTTCGTTTAGCGAGATATTAGACTCTGGTCGACAGACACAGAGCACGACTGCATGAGGAGCTACCCAATGTTCTCTCCGCGATTGGGACCTCAAGGGCTGAACTCTGAAAATGGGATGTAGCGAGGAGAGGGCGATCATCCAAGGGATCTCTCGTGTCGACCCGTCGTGTTCCCACAATCCCATATTTCAGCCTTGCCGACCTTCGTCCGGTCCCAAGGCCCTGGTTCATGTCATCTCAATCCCAGCCAGAGTACTGGACCTGCAAAGCGCGACTCAGCCCATTGATGGTAAAATGATGCGAGTATGTTCCATCGGCCAGTACCGGGGGAGATACCGAATGACACCGTTGGGTTTGGAGGACAGGGTTAGTTTTACACGTAATGCGAATTACCTATAGTTCCATCCAAATTTAGGGCAGATTGTGGTTTGACCATGCCCTTCAGCCTGCGGGTGACGACTGACGAAGTTCGATGTTTGCATAATTCTCGCACGGTGCGTCAGTGTATCCTAGAGCGGAATTCCGAAGCTCCATAGTTCCGCCGATGCTTTCCACGCCATGGCAACTAGGAGCCTTGGGCATAATTATGCGGGATGCATGCCAGTGTTTGGCGCTTTGGGCTTCTTGGTTCCCTCGCTGCGTCCGATCGTGCGTTGACCGTTGGCCGTTGAAACCGATGATGTGCCTAAAGTTCAAGAGCTTCCAAATCAAGCAATCGCGTGAGATCAAGACGAACATTGGTCTGCATTCAACCTCCAATCGATCGCCTGCCAAGTCACGACAACCCAGGGAATGAGAGAATATGCGAGGGATTTGGCCATTTAGCCTTAGCGACAGAGACAGCATTTAGTAACCTTGTTAGACCAATGGTCCGCGTCCACCGCCTCGAGGGTTCTGCTGACCGCTGCATTTGATCGGATCTAAGCAGAATTTCCTAATTAGGTAATGCTGAAGGGCGATCGTAGCGGTCGAATTTAAAACCTGTCCACTCCGCCGGCCAGCTATCTAGGGCAGCCTGTCGCCTATGTCCAACTCCTTTGCCAACAGACATGTGGATCAAACCAGTATTCTCCCTCATCAGTCATAAACAGGGACAATGCTGACCAACCTCGTTGTACAGTCCCCGGTTTCGTCTAACAGTGCACCCGAAGTAGTCGAGTCATTGGCAATGCTCAACTGTGAAATCATTTCGCCATTTCAGCTTCGCGTGCGATGTTCGTTAATTTGCCGAGATGAGGCATTGCTCCGTCAATAATCCCGGTGCGGCAGATTCGTGGCCGAACAAGGCTGAAGCACTGATGACTTCGAAGTCCGAACCGAGCAACGACTTCACGTATATTTATTATTTTGGTATTGCACCACGAAACCAACCACCAGTCTTTATGATAATGTAGGAGGCCTTCTATCTGCCAGTCGAGAAGCTGACCAAGCAGGTTTTGTCATTCGTCGAGGATGGAATGGGATCGGTAGGCGGGACCCCTGAACTCACTATGCTGTTGTTGGTCCCTTGGCAATGGCTAGCATTAATAGAGGTACCCAGGCGAACCACATGCTTTGAATGGAATAGCATGTAACCACCCGGTAGTAAAAAAGGTGGCGGGAATCGGGATGAACAAGGGACCTTTGAGAGCAAGGTTGATATCTTTGGTGAATGTCTTGGTTAGTGAATAATGATAAGTCCCCTTTTTCTAGTTCCTGACTATCTACAACCAGGGCGACGACTGACGACGAACGAGAAATGGGAGTACTACCCAATAGTTCAAATTAGACTCTTGGGTCTCCAACGACGGTGGTCCTGTTTCTATTATTGATCCGCGCGAAGGATCGTTTACCATCGCTGAAGTCCATGAACGGTGAGTACTAAGTAGCCATTACCGCGCTGCCACGAAGAATGATTTCACATCGACTCGATCATGACCGTATCGGGGTCTGGACATGGTAGTTGGATGTGTAGCCGTGTCCTAACATGATCATTGAACGATCACACTTGCCCCATGCTTCTTGCTTTTTAAGGTGCGATTCAGTCTTCTCTCGAACACTTCATCGACTTAGATAGGTTGATTGATGAGCATGATGAAACGAGAATGCAATATGCGGGCACATTCCGCTCCATTAGTCAATAGAGACAGTTGAGAGAGACAGTGCTGTCTAACAGGCGTCAGTGCGTGGCTTCGAATGCGTGCGGCCCGAGAGGGTTGGTATTAACTACTAACTACCTTAATTAGTTAGCGTCTTCACCTCTCCCATGGGTCGTAACTCGTAACCCGTTACTCTCCAGTCTCCACTCACTTGCTTCCCCAAGTGCCCAGTCCCCATGGACCAACGGATCCACCATGGTAGGGCGGCAAGCCGACAACACAGTTGCACGCTGCAAGGCCTGCAATCAATCCAACCAATACGACTTCCGAGGTATGATTGCTAGCAATTAGAAAGTCGTCCGGGCAGGGGTTCGATGGACGGCTGCGATGATAAGTCCGTTCCAAAAGCCATCACGCTTTTCCGCGTCGGCCACCCCGTCCAGCCTCAGGGGAAAGGGGCATGTCGCAACTCCCAAGGCTTCCAGTTTGAAGTTTTCAACGTTCAAATTTTTGCGATCGCCTTACGCCTGGACCAATTCTCGGCCCAGGCATGGAGAAATTAAATGTGGATGCTCCGGGGCCTCTGGACCACTGAGACGGGAGGATCGATAGAGTCGAACCTAGTAGAGACATCGGACCAAGAATGGTAGCCCGTAGCCGTGAGCCGTCCAGCACCCCTCAGATGATGAGCGTCGCCAAGAGATGTGTGTGGATTGGCTGTCCCGAAGTCTGAACATAAGCACGGAAGAATACGGATCCCTTTGAGGCCTCGGTTTGCAATGATAGGAGGATCTAGCTATTGGTGACATTACTATTGATGATGTGAATTCACTGAATATAATTTGTAGTGTAAGACCAGAAATGGAGGGGTTGAAGGGGTGAATTTCTCATGAACTTCCATGGTGACTGAGTCGTCGGTCGTGCATGTGGTATCAGATGATGTTTTCAAATGTGGACGTCGCGGATGATCGAAAGCCTGGCCAGCGCAACCAGCAAGTCGATGCCTGAGTTCCTCAGGCTGGTATGTCAATGAGATATCAATTAATCAATGACTAGACAAGACAAAATTGATACAGTATCAGACATCTGATTCACCAAACTAGACCAGGCAGTTGAGTTTTCCTGTCGATTGGCAACATCATGAAGTATTTCAATGACTATAAGCTCTCTCCCCGTGTTGTACTGTATCGAAGGGCGAACTCTAACTGGAATGTATTACCTCTCTCCCAGACGCCGTTCCCATGCTCCGATTCTGCTAATAAGACAATCCGACAATACCAAACATGCACCCGACACATATCCATCCTCTTTCCCATGATATCTTCCTCCAACAGGCTTGTATCGTCCTGCAATGTCCCGAGGCGGGATTAGTTGAGAGACGTACATACTGAAAACAGCTCTCAAACACCTACGACCTACGAGAGGCGTCGACCACCCTTCGTGTCTTTCGCAGCGAACCCATTATTCAGGCTCGTCCTTTCAGGCGACCTCGCACCTCTTCCGGCCGACGAACCGCCCACTTGATGATCCTCTCCATCATCCATCCCCCATCGCTAATACCCGCCAACCCCGACCCTCCTTCCATGCTGATTCCTCCTCCCCACCGCCCCAATATCAATCCGACTCATCTCCGCACTCAACGCCGCCAAACTCCCACCTGCCCCCTCCCCATCCCCCTCCAACGGCACCTTCGCCGGAATCGGCGGACCGGCATATGATGCTCGGTGCCCTCCGCCCTCATACCTCCCTCCCCCGCCTCCCACCGGACTCGCTCCTGCAGAGTGATATCCACCTGTTCCCCGCTCCCGGAGATACCCAGGGGGCACAGGCACCGGCGACGACTCTGCTGAGTGCGTATGGTGCCCCTGCACGACGACCATCGCGCTCTGCGGCCGACTGCGCTTCTGCAGTCGATTGCGTCCCGTGTTGCTGCTCGGCGCGACGACGACGTCGGTGCCGGCGACGCTGTTGAGCACACCCCGGGCCGCGAGGGATTGTGGGGTGGACGAGGAGGACGCAGTGCCGGGGCGAGTGCGGGAGCCCGGCTCACGGGCGCCGGTGAGCTTCTCGCGTTCGCGGAAGGGCCGTTCTTTGAGGGGAGCTTTGCGCTCGGGTTCGGGAGCCCAGGCGGAGATGGGGAGGTGGTCGGAGGGATCGATGGGGCGGCCGTGGGCGTCGATGATGGGTTCGGGGGCCTCGTAGGGGTCGTAGGCGGGGTGGGAGACGGAAAGCGGAGAGGGTTTGGGGTCGAGGGGAGCGGGGCCGGGTACGGATTTGCGGGATTTGCTGGGAGTGGTGTCGTAGTTGTTGGGTCCGCTCGTACTGGTTCGGAACGAGTCGTTGGGGGTGGAGGGGTTGGAACCGTTGGTAGGGCGCGCGTGGGGGTTGAACGCATCGTAGGAATCGGGTGAGAATGGAAGTCCTCCACGGCTTCCGGTGGAATCGGCACTCTGAGGTGGTGGCAGCGGAGATACCGGCCGTCGGCTAGGGGTGCTTCGATTCGTCGGGGGAGTTGGTCGTCCTACTGGACCTCCCGAGTGAGGCGTTACTGGGCTCACTGCTCGAGGCTTGATCAAAGGAGGAGTCTCGTAGGCAGACATCGATTGCCGACTGCCATTCGTCTCTGCTCCACGGTAATCTGGAACGGAGTTGGTTCGGCTTTGATACGGCACCTGGTGGGGAGGGGTGTTGAATGGAGATGTGCCGTGCGATCGAGGGTGTTGCAGAGGCTGAGCAGGCGGAGCACCAGGATACGTAGGCCGGTGCGCGTGCGGTGCAGCGACGTACCGCTCAGAATTATATGACGGAGGCCTCTCGGACGGTTGAGGCCGTGGCTGCGGTTGGGACATCATGGTCTGGTCTCGCATATCACCACCGTTGTGCGATCTACTGAGATCAAGCGGGTTCACAGGATCCCCATCTTCCAGACGGGAAGCCACGACCCGCGGGGATACGGAAATCCTCTGCTGAGCAGCGCGTTCGCTGTATCGAACTACCCCCATCCCTGGAGAGCTGGGATCTTCGCCATCGTACGGGACTACCGGCTGCTCCATGGTATTTCGGTTGGAAATTCGAAGTGGAGCAGGAGCTTCGTCCTCCGGTGATGGGACATATGAAGCGCGATGCACCATGCTTTGTGGAGCCCCAACTTGCCCTGGCCCGGTACTCCGATGAACAGGAGGCGGAGGTGGCAAGTCACCTGCATCTTCGACCGATGGTTGCATAACATCTCTCGCGGTAGGTTCCGGCAACTGTCGATGCTCTGGTTCTTGGGAATGATACCGACGTGGCCTTGAGTCCAAGTCGATTCCGCCGTATGCATCTACCTCCTCAACGTAAGGCTGTGGAGGGTAATGGGAACTTCGTGGTCGTTGTTCAGGAGCGTGTTGCTGCCTATTGTTTCCGTGTTCTTCAGTGAAGTGTCCGTACTGGCTTTGACCCCGCACTCGATTGCTAGAGTACGCAGTGTCCGCCTGTGGAAGGGGAGGCGGAGGTTGATGCGACATGTCTTCCTGAGTGGGATACTGCGGCGGCCGATAATGGTCGGCTTCTGGAGGGAAATGACCGTGGCCGAAGCCATGCGGACCAGATTGGCCTGCATCATATTGTGGTGGATTGCTTGGGTCGTGTGGGCCTTGAGTCGGGTATTGTTGGTCCCAATGAGGCATTCCGGAAGGGTCGTTGGCGATGTACTCCTCCTCGTCTAGATATGGTCGTGGGGATCGAGATCGAGGGATGGAATGACCGACCTCTGGACCAGTCACATCATACTGAGGATGTATCTTTCTCCGGACGGTTCCATTTGGGTAGTCCGCCGAGGCGGCATCGTACCGACTGTTTCTAGTGCTGGGTGGAGTCTGGTAGCTTCGAGGTCCGGAGGACGGATTCGGCAGAGGTCTTCCATGGTCCACGTCGACATTCGGAGACTGAGAGGCACTCGTGGGATTGGACGGGAGTGGTCGTCGCTTGATCGGGGTGTCTCGTCTGGGACCGGCAACTCCGGAGTTCACGCGATCGCGTTGTTCGTCGAACTGTTGCTCCGGGTGGACCGGCTCCTTTGGTTTCTCGGGCTTTGGTCTTGTGTCGTAGTATGTGATCTCGAGTCGAACATCCCCGGCATATTTCCCTTTGCAGCCGAGATTCTGCCACATATCACTCTGCCCTCCGCCAGGCACAACCACGTCGTCCAGGCTGACCCAGGCCTCGCCAATCAGTTCGGTCCTTTTATCATCGTTGAAGACGGAAAGTTTGAGGCTGTAGTAGTCCGGTGAATCGTGGACGGTAAAGCGTAGCTCTTGATCCCTATTCATGATATTAGCTAACGATTCGACTAGTCAGCCACGAGGACTGCTTACCATTTGGGAGTTTGCCCTCCTCGTTTATCCGTCTCGGTTTTTTTTGCTTCTTTCCCTAACCTTGCGGCACAATATGGATCTTGCTTTCCCATGGACTTCCGGTTGGGGAGATTCTTTGCCCGGTCTATGATGACAACCAGGGTACCAATCTCCGGACCATCGACGGTCATATCGGAGTAGATACCTGCGGCAGGACGGCCATGCAACGATGCCACTTTTGACGGTCGTAGAGCCATTGCGGATCAGAAAACAATGATCACAGTCTAGAAGGTCTGTGGAGGGTAGAACGAGAGAGATGAAGTGTCAAAGAAGCGCCAGAATTGATGGGATGGCCGCGTACGTGTGGCCAAGGTCCTAGAAAGAGTGGATATGGGGAATCATGGAGTAGGTCATCTAAGTGAAGGTTGAGCAATTGATTTGATCTCCAAACCCAATAACTGCTGAAAGGGTAGAATGAAGGAATCTAGCAGCAAGAAACGAATGTACAGTCAGTACGGAATAGCACTAGATGATAGCAAAGGTAGCTTCGCATGCTTGGGAAACGGGTGGTGGTGGCGGAGGAGGGAGTGCATTGTTTTGATGGATTTGTTTGGTGGTGACGACGTGAAGGTGGTTGGTGGGAGGCTGGATCCGGGATCGACGCTGCACGCATCCACGCGTCCCAGACGAGTTTCAAGATTCTAGTCACTTCGTGTCATTGGGGAAATCCCCTGCAATGATCATTTTCTCAATTTCTCAACAACTACCTACTCCGTTCAGCATCGTCTATTGCGATCTCTCGGACTCGGTAGTAATCGGTAGAAATGGAGATGGTCGGTAGGGTCACGTGACGGGAGAGTATGACCAGGGTCCCTTGTCGTCGGGCTTGGCGCACATGCTCAAAATCACCTGACTGCAGCGAACAACATCACCTGCAATTTATGGTCCAAGCTTGAGCGGTTTACATTAACTTAGCAGTGAGTAATTAGCTGATGAGCAGTGATTGGCTCATGGCTGAAAGCACGTGACCTGATCACCGCCATCCAACAAGCCAGAATTGCAATGACATCGGTTTGGTGATCTGACAATCCATCATCTCCATCCTCCATAGTCCCGCAAAAATTGGCCTTGCTGTACTTGATACCTCTCTCATATCCTACAACACATAACGTTCCACTCGTCGGACATTTAAGAAACCATGTGGATTCTCGATTGGTACGTCCCATATCTTCTCACAAGCTCCCAACCCATCAAACATGGCGCATCGTCTAACGAGTGGATAGGTGTAAGTCGGCCCTGACCCCCTTGATCCTGCGTAAACCCGCGGTGTAGCTGCGCAGCAGTGTCCGAGCATCTTCGCGCGCAATATGAGACCAGGAAACTAAAGATCCGTTACGCAGTTTGGGACGTCCTCGCGTCCCTGGGGCTGATGAACAAGCATGCGAGTACGTCAACCTCCGATAGCATGATCCATGCTTCTCGTTCCCTTCCTTTTCACTGACCAGTCCCCCGTAGAGCTGCTGTTCCTCGGCCTTGACAACGCAGGCAAAACGACCCTTCTCCACATGCTGAAAAACGACCGCGTGGCAGTCCTTCAGCCGACCCTGCATCCGAGTAAGCTCAGCCCGAGGAGATATATCCCTACCATAGATGGCAAGAGGCTAACCCCGCTGGCTCGAAAGCATCGGAGGAGCTGAGTATTGGAAACGTGAAGTTTACGACATTCGATCTGGGTGGTCACGCACAAGCGCGGAGGTTATGGAGAGATGTAGGTGCTCATCGCACAAAACGACATGACCTAGATTCTAACTACCAGGTCTGCAGTATTTCCCCGAGGTGTCTGGGATCGGTAAGCAACCTTCTGCTGGGGTTCCTCGTAGCCCGTATCCCCAGCTATCCATTCCTAACCCGCCCCTCCAGTGTTCCTCGTCGACGCGAAAGACCACGAACGACTCCCAGAGGCCAAAGCCGAGCTAGATGCGCTGCTGTCAATGGAAGAACTCGCAAAGACGCCGTTTGTCATCCTGTAAGTGAACGGACCTTCCTCCGCCAAGCTCATAGCAAAAGCTGACCCGATGCAGAGGAAACAAGATTGACCGTATGCACCAAAACACATGCCCTGCGCATCACTCCGAGTATCCCTGTTGCTGATCTCCCGCTTTATAGACCCGGACGCCATCTCCGAAGATCAACTCCGCGCGACCCTAGGCCTCTACCAAACCACCGGCAAAGGCAAGGTCCCCCTCGAAAACATCCGGCCCATCGAGGTGTTCATGTGCTCAGTGGTATGTTTGCTTTCCCATCCGTTCCCAGGCTTTTCACTCCCTTCAATCATCCCTTTTCTTCAAACCCAACTCCGTCTACGGTGGTTCGTCTGCTCATATCATTTCCCTACGATAGGTTCTCCGCCAAGGATACGGCGAAGGCATCAGGTGGCTCAGCCAGTATGTTTAGGTCAAGGATGACGCATACAGCATCATCTGCTACGCTGCAATTAAGTACCGAAAACCCCAGTGCCAGCGTGCGTGCATCACTCCCTTTCGTGGGTGACTACGGTATCATGAAATCGCCGCGTGGGGTCCGCCAACCCACAAATTCAAGCTCTCTGGATCCGGCGACAACGGTGTTGCGTTGGCGATATGATTTGTTTGCTATTGAATAATTACAATTCGATGATTGGGTCATTAGCGGCATCGACGGGCTTTTTCTTCGCTGCTGGTCTTTTCGATGGAGATCAACGGCGACGGTATGGCGTCTTCAGTTCTGTTCGTTATAGAGAAATGGAGAACGCTTTACTATATTATGCTGTGCTGTGCTGCCCTTTACTCCCGTATAATACGCTCAAATGCAGTAGGTAGGCGATGGTAGGATTGAGAACTATGACCTGGAACTTGTGCCATGTTCGGGAAGTAATATTAGTTTCATTTGAGGTTATGGAACTATGGTCGTTAGTCCAGCACGTATGATAAAACATGTCTAGCTAAGAGATATTTTCTTGCTCAGGACACGATCCATCCCACCTATCGTTCACTGTTCACTGCCCCCACCTCCCCCTCCTCCATCTCCACCTCAACGTCACTGCCACCGCCACCACCGGCAACACGCTCACCAGCTCCCCCACCGCCGCAAACGCCGGTGGGATCCTCCACCCCTTCCCGCCCCGCACCTTCTCGAACGCCCCCGCCGCCCCCAGCAGCGCCACCACGTTGTACAGCCCTGCCCACACGAAGTTCAGCACGATGCGCCACCACGCCGACGCGCTCACGTCCTGCAGGATCAGCAGCCCGCGCAGATCCGGATGCACGAGGACGACGTCGGCGGCGGCGCTGGCGACTTCGGAATTCAGGGAGGTGGAGGCGGAGAGGGTACGGGGAGTAGTAGAGGCTATAGTTGTCGAGGTTATGGGTCGAGAGGTGCAGGATGGTACGATCCCTGACGCACCGTCTGGTTTGGTAGGGATGGAAAATGTGCGGCTCGCCGTGGTCCTGAGAGGCGGGCTGGTGTATGCGGTCGACGACGGCATGTGCACACCAATGCTTGCTAGCCGCAGCGCGGGCGCGTCGTTCGTCCCGTCCCCGCAGAATACGACGATCGGGCCGCCTTTCGAGGTGCCGTTCCGGCGCCGCTTGGCCTGCGCTCCTGACGACAGGAGATCGCGGAGGTACTCTTGCTTCGCGGCCGGGGATGCTTGCGCCTTCACATACTGCGACAGGATGCCGAGCCGACCCGCAACGTCCAGCACCGTTGCACTGTTGTCGCCGCTGACGATATGCACGGTGACGCCGCGTTTCTGAAACGCGCGGATCACCTCGGGGGCTTCGCGACGGAGAGGGTTCTCGAGGCCGTATACGGCGGCGATGGTGCCGTTGATGGAGAAGCAGAGAACAGAAAGACGCTGCTGGTGGATCGTGAGAACGTCGGGGTGTTTATCGGCGCTGAACCATGCAGGATTGCCAGCGAGGACAGGCTTGCCTTGGTATTCGCCTTCGATGCCTTTGCCGGGGACAGAGACGATGTTGTGGATATGGGCGGGTAACACACCGTGAGAGCGGAGATGTGTGGCGACGGCTTGCGAGACGGGATGTTTCGAGCCTTCGATGAGTCCAAGGAGGAGGGATTTCGGTGCTGCGGCGGCGAGCTCATCTTTTGACTCGGGTTTCGATTCGTTAGTCGCCGGTTCGCAACAGGCGTCAGGGCATGTGGGACCGTCCTTTTCCGCCTCTTTCGTCTTTGCATTCAACAAGTGCTCCGCAACGACGCTCATGTTTTCTTCCGTCAAAGTTCCGGTCTTGTCAAATACGATGTGTTTCATGTTCCTTGCATTTTCGATGGCGAGTGGATCTTTGAACACCACTCCCATCTTCGCCGCCACTCCACGAGTAATCACGACGACCATGGGCACCGCTAACCCGATGGCGCAGGGGCAGCTGACGACCAGTGTAGCGATGGCAAACGTCAGGGCATTCGCTGCAGCCTCTCCACGAGACACCTTCTCAACGTAGACCCTGACAAGGAATTGAACCAAGAAAACGACGAGCGTGATCACAACAACCAGCGGGACGAACCAGCCAGCTATCGCATCGGCAATCTCCTGGGTGCGAGGTTTCTCGAGCTCGCCTCGATCGACTAGCGTGGCAATCTCGTGGATGGTGTTTTCGCTCGGAAGTTTGGTCAACTTAACATCCAGCGCCCCGCTGCGGTTGATGCTCCCTGCAATCACCCGGCTTCCCACACCTTTGGCAACTAATCTCGATTCGCCGGTCACCATACTCTCGTCCACTTCAGAGCCACCGAAAGTCACAATGCCATCGGTGGTGATTCGGGAGTCAGGTGGCACTCGAAAAAGATCGCCGTATTGCAGCAGTCGGGAATCGATGGATTGCGTATGGCGAGGATCCTCTTCGGAAATGAGGAGAGCGGATGACTCCTGCAGTGAGCGAATTGAGACCGATTCCGTCGCTCTCTGCCGGGAATACTCGCTGATGAAGCGTCCAAGCATTATCAAGGTGATCAGTAGCGTGCTGGTCTCAAAGAACTCTCCTGTCTTCAGCGGGTGTCCGCTCAAGTAATGGGCGAAGGCGACTACTGAATAGATATATGCGGCAGAAGTGCTCAGCGCGATCAACAGTGCTAGCTCAACAATTCGTGAATAGAAGAGATCTCGGAATGCTTTCGGATAGAACTCCCATGCGACCCCGCACTGGATGATTGTCGCCAGTGCAAATGACGTGCAATTATATGCCAGCGACTGACTCTTGTCCTCTGGAAGCGGAGCCCACGCCATTATCAGAACCGGAATGGTTAACATAGCTGCACCGCAGAAGAGTAATCCTTCTTTTTTCACTTGCTTCTTGCCTGCTACGATCGACGGGTCTTGGTTCGGTGGAGCGAGGGCCAGTTCATGTCCGAAGCTCTGTTCCGCCAGGGTCCTGGCGCCGACAATGTGAGCGTCGAATGAGATTCGAAGGTACCCCTCCGGCGTTGCTGAAATGTCGGTTACTCCATTTGGAAACGGTTTCTGCGAGATACTGTAGTCCTCGTCCCGTGGCGGCACGACATCAAGGACCTGACCGTCGGCTTGTTCGAAAATTTGGTGGTACTTGTAGGATGTCTGCTTGTGTAGCCGAGATAGCAGTTCTCCGATGCTGAGCCTGCCGACATCGAGGTCAAATTCGGCGCGGGATAGGACCAGGCTGATCTTGATATTGCCCAGAACTTCAGGAGTGCCCTGCAGAGAGCGTTCCAACTGCCTCTCACACCCTGAACATGTCATGCCTTGGACACTGATGACCACATGCTCCACAATTGGAGGACCTTTCTCGACGTCTAGGCTGGCGCCATTGAAGGAAACAATACCACCATCCTTTGAGTTGCTGTCCTTGGATGAATGTCCCGAATGTTCCGAGCGTCCTGAATGTCCACAGCATGGCGTGCTCTCCTCTACACTCTCCTCTTGGCAACAATGAGTCGCTTTGTCCTTGCAGCAACCCATGTTTCATTCTTGTTGCGTATCAATATGGGTAGATGGGTAGCTGATGGAAAGAAAGCTAATAGGATCCAATGATCAAATATCTGACTTGAGTAGAGGCGATGAGATTATGATTTGACCATGAGGAAGAAGATAATTATGATCAAGTAGCTGAGAACATTGTGACAAATGAGAGCGGCACTGGGAGGAAAAGCCGACACAACAGGAAGCGAAGCCACTGAAAGCGAAGTCTACAACAACTAGACAAGATATCAAGACATCATCCAAACCCAAGTCCACAGGATGCTGGCGAGTTTTTCAATTGCGCGCCGTTCTTGCCTAAAGCGGTTCTCCATTGCTTCCAGGTCTCTTCCGTGTCGCCAACTCCTTTCCAGATTCCCATCAGGTGGGCAGAATGAAGTCAAGGAACCGGAAGGTGACACCATCATCGTATGATCCGCACGGAAGTAACGACGAACATAGCGATGATATACATCTAGCAACACCACATCGGCGTACCGGTAAGGGACATGTTCAGTATCACTCACTGCAACTTTCGTCTTTGGCTGCATCGACAGCGGCCACGTGCATGTTCCAGCAGATCGATGTCTGGTCAATCCGGCTGCATGTTCCCGGAATGATATATGACTTCTTTCTTCGAATATCCGGTGTGGAGCGCCTAGCGGCTGGTATTTGGTTACTGATGTATTTGTCATAACTTCATGGGCGTTTGTGAGGGAGTCGGTGTGTAGAGCGCATCTGTATTCAGATCGAGGATATCAGATTGCTAAAGCAGGAAACAAACCGGGAGATGTGCGAGACGCGGTGGCTTTCCGCCGCTAATAAGACGTCTGCATGGTTCCATGCGGAGAACCAGCACCTTGGTTCAGCATCGCTTCCAAGCTCCTTCGTTAGGTGTATCTCCAAGCAGTTTTACCTTTCCTTCTAGCCGACCAGGACCATTCCAGGATTCTCCAGGCTCTGGATCCATCGCGATACCAAGGAACCATCTACGCGCTCGGATTGATTGGAAGGGCTCGGGTCGACGGAACAATGGTGAGAGTGGGAGTGAGAGTGAGAGTGAGAGTGCCACGGTGACCTACGGTACGTTCCACGCAATTGGGTCTGAATGTGAGGATGAAACTAGAGAGAACCCGTGGCGCCACTCCAAGTGCCGAATGCCCCTGTGGTGGAAGGCCAGGTGCTTCTAGCCATTGTGCTGAGAACATTGAGATCCGAGGCTAGTAACAACGGTGAGACAGGTAACAAGTAGGGTAACAGTTGTGTCACGAGCACCATCTTGACTGTGGTTACAGACTTACAGATGGATTGATCCGATTATGAATCGCGGATGACGGAGTGATGAAAATGGCTGTGGCTGTGGGGATCGTACAGGTAAGGCTGCAAGGCTGTAAGGCGGTAATAACCCGACGCGTTCAACTTCTATTTCCACGCGTTCATGAATATTACACTCATGAACATTACGGAGTACACTGATAAATATTACACTAATGGAGGTATCGTGATTAGTGTAGTAGCGACACACCCTAAGCATTCTGTACTTCTACATCTTAGCTGATTGTGGAAATCAATTCCCTCATCATATGAATGGTCCGGGGCCTCCATTCCGCATCTTCTCGTCTAACATCCCGACTCTCCACACAGCCAACAGGCGCCATGTCCGAATCACGAACGAGATCACGAACACGACCGCAACGTGCCCCAACACGCCCTATCCCCAATGAAGGCAACATATACACATACGCAAAGCGACCACGTCTGCACCAGCAACACTTCAACTCACCGAAACGCGCCGTCAAGCGCCCGCGATTGTCCCGGACACCCTCGAGCCTCGACCGGCAACAGACACTGACCCAACTTTTCGACCCCACTGAGGATGTTCAAGACTCCGAGCTCGAAAGTGACGGTCTGGCAGAAATGGGTGACGCAGATGTGGACGCAGACACGGAGGAACCCGCAATGCTCCCTCCGAAGTCAAAGAAGAGGAAAAGGGGGAAGTTCGACACGAAGACGGAGAGCCAGAATACGCTGACGCAGCTGAACTTCGTTAATTTGCTAGGGCGGCCATTCCCGAAAGAGGAGGATGACGAGGATGATATCATCTGGCGGGTCCCAGAGAGTCCAGAGAAAGACGAGCGTTCTCTGCCGGCTCGGGGACGCACTGAATCACGAAAAAGATCGAGACCAAACAGCAAGATATCAAAAGCAACATCCAGTCTCTCCCCTCCTCCGACGTCGACGAAGGAGCGTACGCAGCGCCGCCGCGTTGCGCTGAGCTCGACCTCTGGAAATTCCGCGCCTCCTCGTAGCCGCCCCCCAACGAAACCCGGCACTCCCTCCTGCAAGAAGAGAAAAGTGGCAATTCAATCCCCCGAGCCTGAACCCAAACCCCTCACTCCAATTCCATCCTCTCCCACGCAACGAGACCCATTGCCAACTAATAATACCTCCGGCAACACTCAACCGTCACACGCGCGCATCCACAAAGGAGTCGTCTACATTCCCGACTCCGAAGACTCCGAAGAATCACCGTTCTCTAGTCCGGAGAAGCAGATGCGGCGGCTGGAGTCGTGGGAGCAGCAGGACAAGTTTCCGTCGTCCTCGCCAGGGGGGACATGGGCTGGGGCGGAGGGCCAGCCGGCAGTTGAATCCGCACAGCAGCGTCAGCGGCAGCTAGGGTTGGCGGGAAATAGTACCAGGACCGGAGTTCTACCGTATGGTGATCGGCTGACGAGAAACGCGGGCGGTCGAGGGGTTGTGGCGGATGGGAACCGGTGTCTTGGGGGTGACAGATCTGCGTCGGACGCAGTGGCAGTGGCGGGGTTTCTTCGGTCTAGCAGAGGTGGAGGAGAGGGTAGTGAGTCGGAGACGGTGCTCGTGCCTAGGTCGCAGCAAGATGAAGATTTCGCGTTCCGTTATGAAAGTCGGAGTGAGGATAAAGCTATGATGGATGATGGGGCAGAGCTCTTGTTGGCGGAGCTGGACTATGGGGATCTCCGCGCGGGTGTGAATGTGGGTGGATTCAGGCGGAGATGTCTGGCGGAGCTGCTCTCGGAGTGGATGGATGATACGGTGATTCCTCTTCCGCCAATGTTAGCGTCGGATGCCGTGATGTGAGATGACGCCGGTGTTTATGGTTTAGATATTCAGTACCGTAGTTACTACCTGTTTCTCACGAAGCTGTCACGATGCAGATGAAATTTAAGATATTCTCTTCATTCCATTTTTTAGAACAGCTATCACTGCCTCCGGTACCTATGGTATGTTACTGCTGCGGCTATGCATTAAGCCCATCCACCCTAAAACCCCAAATCTAACAACAGGAAGCCCCAGAATTGAATTCAACCCAGCAGAAAAAACCCCCAGCAAATAATTTTCCTGGAATAGCAATAAAGCAACTCCAGCAAGCCCGTATGCTTTTTTAAGGGTGGTGCGAGTGACGCCGGTGTCATGGTATCTGCCTGTCTCGTCCTCATCATGCATTGGGAGACCCAAACCGGTTGCCGTACTGTATCAAAACGCCATGCTAATATCAATGCCCGATCGCTGTCCTGGATCGTTCTAAGAAATGTGCCTGTGCATGCCTATGCTCTGTGATTGGGCCATGGAGTCGAAATCTCCGCGTGAATTGCCGGTGTCGGCCGCGTATTTCTCCCGACAACGGGTTTATGCGTCCTTCATCACTTCGTCGTGTATGGCGCGGGTGGGTTCATCTTCGTGAGTGCGTCCGTCTTCGCGGCTAGGTTCGTCTTCGCGGCTAGGTTGGCCTTCGGCGGTGGGTTGACCTTC